AAAAGATAAAAGTAAAGATAGAGAAGTAAAGAAAATATGACATGGTAGCATTAGAAGTGAGAAATAAACAAGCGAACACAGAAAAAGACAAAGAACAACACGTTCAAAATACAAAAAAGCAATGACAACATTAAGGGAGATTTTTCAAGAAGCAAATACGACGAAATGAAGCAACTGACCATCCAAGACGAATTACTTAAGAATCCTGTCAATCAAAAATGTAAATAAACTTTACATCCTTATATAACTGCAAATGGGGCTTATTACCTGAATCTAATTAATAAATACAGGGCTGATAGACACGGAAATTACAGATTAATCAAATGAAGCAACTGGGAGAGAAAAAGAGACAACACCAAAGAGCAAAGACAAACAAACACACAAAAGACAGAACCAGACAGAGACAGAGCCACAGAAATAGACAGAGAAGCACTGAGACAAACACGGATAAAGACAGAGAGAGAGAGAGAACCAGACAGAAACATAGATACAGACACAGACAGTGACAGAGCCACAGAAGCATACACAACCACAGACAGAGCCACAGAACCAGACAGAGAGAAAACCACAGAAACAGGTGCAGAACCACAAAGACTGATACAGACACATATAGAGACAGCCACAGAACCAGAGACAGAGCCACATAACCAGACACAACCACAGATGCAGAGCTACACAGAACCAGGTAGAGAGAAAACCACAGAAACAGGTACAGAACCACAAAGCCAGATACAGACACAACGTCAGCCACAGAACCAGGCAGAGAGAAAACCAATGAAAGAGGTACAGAACCACAAAGACAGATACAGACAGTCAGCCACAGAACCACAGAACCAAGCAGAGAGAAAACCACAAAGACAGATACAGACAGCCACGGAACCACAGAGACAGCCAAGAACCAGGCAAAGAGAAAACCACATAAACAGATACAGAACCACAGACACACATACACAGACCGAGACAGCCGCAGAACCACAGAAACAGACCCAGACAAAACCAGACAGACAGAACCAGACGCAGACCCACACAGACCCAGAGCGAACCGGAGGAGCCACAGACACAGACACAGAGACACTCCGTACTCACGTAATCTGTCTCTCCAGGAAGTCGACCCCGATGGTCTTCTTGTACTCCTTGGTGAACGTCCCCTTGCAGTAGCGCTGGATCATGGAGGACTTCCCGACGGCTCCGTTGCCCACGATCACCACCTGCGGAGAGGAAGAGCTGGGTGAGGGGTGGAGGATGCGGCGGCGGGCTTGGGGGGAGGGGTTGGGGGGTTGGGTTTTTTGGATTTTTTTGTTTGTTTGTTGTTTGGGGAGGATTTTTGTTTTGTTATTTGGGAAGGATTTGATGTTGTGGTCTGTGTTCTTTGGGATTTTTTTGTTTGTTCTTTGGGGAGGATTTGCTGTTGTTTGTGTTCTGTAGGAAATTTTTTTGTCTGTTGTTTGTGTTCTCTGGGATTTCTTGTCTGTTCTTTGGGAAGGATTTGTTGTGTTCTTTGCCGTATATCTTTGTGAAGGATTCCTTACTGTTATTTGTGAATTTGTGGCTTAGAAAAAGAGGTGAAGGTAATATTGTAATAAGGTGCTCGTGTCGTTTCTCCTCAAAGGGGGTGAAATATTCATATTCCCCTTGAAAAAAAGAGGTAAAGATAAGATAATATTATAGGATATAGGTAAAGATAAGATAATATTATAGGATATAAAGATAATATCGTAGGATTCATTTTTACATAATGATTTGCAATTCGAGGAAGAATATTCCTGAAGAAAATGGAGAAGGAGATGGTTTCCTTGTGTGTCTTTTTGATGATTTAGCGTGTAGATAAAATCCTGTAAAGGGGATATTACCTTAAGTTAGAAAATATATATTTGCTTCTTTTTTTTTTTTTTTTTCTCTTTTTTTGCGATTTTTTTTTTTTTTTTTTTTTTTTTTTTGTATTTCTGACGAAGATATAATCGAATCCGGTTAAATACTTCTCTTGTATTGTGAAGATATTCGTTCTCATTCATACCTTTCCATCTTTTTTTTTTTTTTTTTTTTTAACATCACAGGCGGAAATACCCATCAACAATTACCAACACCTATAACGTGCATTAAGTGGATCCGATCCTATCACAGCCAATCTAAACCATTCTTCACGCGTTGAAATTTCTTATAAAGAGATAGAGGGGAGACTGTCGTAATTAGAGTCATTTGGAAGGTTCTTTAAGGGGGCGAGAGAGCAACCTTGGAAACAGGTAGTGGGGGTAATGCCATAAGTTATGTGGATGAATATGTATAGCTTATGGAAAATGACCTTTTTAAAGACGCGACCGACGGGGATTATAAATTCTAATTCGAGCTATGGGGGGATGGCTATTTATCTGTCTCTCTCTCTCTCTCTCGCTTTCTCGTCTGTCTGTCTCTGTCTGTCTGTCTGTCTGTCTGTCTCTCTCTCTCTCTCTCTCTCTCTCTCTCTCTCTCTCTTCTCTCTCTCTCTCTCTCTCTCTCTCTCTCT